CCCCTCCCCCACTCGCAGTAACTAAAAATAGAACTGCAAAGCGTACTCCAAAAACCTAGGCTGGTACTGTACTCGTACTCGTACTCGTAGCAACAATGCACAATCTCCAACTGGGCAGAAGAGCAGAACGCAGCCAGCGCATCCCAGAAACCAGATTAAACCGCAGATGCGCTGTCAAAGAGTGACAGGGCCAGGAGAAACGACTTGATTGCCCCATGTGACCAGGCTCTGGCCCAACCAGCACAGCACCGAGCAGAACAGAACAGAAAAGAGCAAAGCAATATACCCACCAACCGAATCCCAGGACGGAGACCGAGACCGAGACCGAAGCAAACGACAACCACGTTCAACGTTCTAATGAACCCAAAAAGATTTTACGCGCCAAAGACTTTTTTCACGTTGCCCAAGTGTATACACAAGATGCCCCCTCTCGTACACTCGTAGTAGAACTGCGAAAAATAAAAAAAAAAAATTAAAGAAGAGAAGAGAAAGGTCAGTTTTGAGGGTCGAATAAAGAATACCCTTGCCATCCAATCTTGAAGCTAGATATCGATTAAATTGATATTATCTTTGTAGAAAGATATTTGTAGTACTTTCGTTTGGAAGGTACATGCAAGAGATTAATACAATTAATATACAAATTATAAAGATTGATCGAATTCTTGTTCTTTCGATCGATCTTCCCATAACCACATTTATATTGGAATAGAAAGTACAGAGCTTCATTTCGATTAGTTCCCCATTGGGCAGCAGAAGACAAATTCTATGCTAAGTTTGAAAATAAGATCTTCTGGTACTTTCGAATGGTATTTCGTTCTTTCCCCATTATAAGCCCCTCCGTGGCAACTATGTACGTCGTCTACCCACTCTAAAGGGTATGCAAAGAAGCAACGAAGATAAACAGGCGGACATAGAACCAAGGAGAGGAGTTCTGCCTGCCTTTTCTCTGTTTTGATACGATATAAAATTAAAGACCTAATGAAGTGGAGGCAGCGACAACGCGGAGATAAATATGCACACAGCAGCAGCAGCAGCAACAACAGCAACAACACAGAACCCGTTTGACCAGTCACTGCGGCAGTTGTTGTTTGGGGCAAGCATCATCATAATTTTTACTATCAACTTGCAACATTGGGACATATGCGGCGTCTTGCACCGATTGCGTGTGCCTCGGCCCCGACCCCATCTCTGTCTCCGTCTCCGTCTCCGCCTACACCCGACCAAGGTATATGGAACAGGGAGCGGAAGGCAGTCTGAGGATCACTTTAAAGAATTCGAACCAATGAAACACTTACATATAAATGGGTAGCGTTTCGTGCCTTCCCAAAAGAGCGTTCCGTGGTGTCCGAACTGCCTAACCTTTTGTGTTCAATATACCATGAAGGCAACGTTAAAGCGATCGCCGATCAGTGGCAGTGGCTACCATAAGCTAGAACGGGACAAAACAACAACAAAGCCTGTTCACACTCGACCGCTCGCACACACTCACACACACACATATGCATATAGAATTGATATGAAAACAGGTCATTGCCTTAATGGATCTTGACTCTCACCCCTCCAGCACCGCCTTCACCTCCTGCACTATCACTCTCTTCTGCATATGGATGCAAACGAAGAGTGCAAAAGGAACGTAACGAAACGAAACGAAACGAGAAACGTTGCCTGCATACGAAACTACAGAAAATACGAGGAAGGCACTCGGCACATGCACATGCACATGCACACACACGCAAACACACAGAAATCAACGATAAAGATTTAAGCAAATAATCAAATGCATAAACAAGAGAGGGGGAGTTGGGGAAGGGGTAAGACATTGGATGGGATGGGAGAGCATGAATGCGACATAAGCAATGCCCTACAATAAAAGGGAGGGGCAGAGTACTGGCAGAGTAATTGGTAAATGATTTAATGGATTTATTTATTTATTTATTAATATAAATATTTATTATTTATGTATTTATTTATTAAATGGAACCACAATAATTACGATTAAATTGAACGAGTTAAGTGAAAGAGTGGAAGTGATGAAAATTCCTAACATATAGAAATCCAGAACCTATAAAAATCTCGCATAATATTAATAAGCACTGGTTTTTCTGTACATCACTCCAATCAATGCCAGAGCTTAGCACCACCAATACCAATACCCTTTCGAATATCGCGAATCAATGCACTCCACGGGCTGCTTTTATTTTTGGCCCTAGAAGAAGACTCATACGAATCGTCAGCAATTTAGATTTATAGTTAAGGAGCCGTAGTAGCATCTGGAGGCGAATCAGTGTGAAGTCGTGTAAATTGGGTTAAAAGTACAATTGTCATTTAGCCCCCTAATTGGAGGCGTGTGCGAGGCGACTGCAAGTCGCAGATTGGATTTAAGTCCCTGGCCCTGTCACTCGGGCACAGGCCACAAACAAATCAATTTCAATCCACAAATAAACATACATACATATATGTACATGTATTTGTATGTATTTCCATGAATATAGGTATGTATAGTCCTATACAATGAGCTACTGTTTTGGCCAGCTGCTTGACTAAATCCCTGCATGACGCGTGCCCGCCTGAAGCGGACACTGCCAGACTATGGGATCTGGGATCTCAGCTACAGATACAGCTCCAGTACAGTGCCGCTGCCTTTTGCCAGCTGTCGAGGCCCCACTCCATCTGCTCCTTCAGTTGGGGATCTCTTGTGCCACTTGATCTTCTCCACGCTCGCTCTCCGGCTGCAGGCCAATAGATAAGACCACACCGCCCGCCCCCTTCCAACCGATCTTCCCGTCTCGGGGCCTGCTTATGTAATACTAGACGGAGACAACGACTCCTCTGTGGCATCTTTTCGCTCGAGGGCTGGCCCGACTGGTTGGAGGAGCCTGCCTGCTGCCTGCCTGTTTCTGGCTTTCTGCGAGCGGAGAAGCTTGGCGTGCTGCCATTTGATAAATTGCTTTAGTACAGGGGCGGATTTTGCTTGGAAAACTGAGAATATTTCTTCGTATATGATGAGAGAACATTCTACAAAATTATTTTTAAATTAAAATTTTGTATTTAATTTTTTTTTTATTCCCCTTTTCTCAACCTAACCGCTCCTCGGCTTACGCAACAGCTGTCAGCAATAGGTTCAATTGTATTTTTAGCATTGCGCCTCGGTTAAGTAGTCACTGCCATGGGGACCCATGGGGCAGATGGGGCAGCGCTTGTTTGAGTGTGTGTGCGTGGAGGAAGGCACAAGTGCACGGGGTAATAATTTATTTGCAGAGCAGCCTTTTGATGGAGCACAAGAGCAGCAGCAGCACCATCATCAGCAAGTGCCGGACACAAACAAAAAAGAAGTTGTATGCACTGGGGGAAGTAGTAAATTATAGATATTAGGCGGCAGAGTCGACTATTTGATATCTGAGCTAGAATTTAAAATTATGATATATTAAGAAATTGAAAAAATACTATAATATACAATCAAATTAAATAAATAAAACAAAATAAAACAATAAAAAGATATAAACAAAAAATGAATAAAACAAAACAAAACAGAAAGGATAAAGAAAGATATTTATTGAAAGTTCTAACTAATTTATTTAATTTTTACCAACATATATTATTTGATTTTTTATTTATTTTATGTCCCATTAATTAATTTATATATTTTGGTATATTATATAATTTTATTTTATCATGTGATATTATTTAATGCTTTTAGCTGCAAACTCAATTTAAATCCTAGATTATTTCACACAACTCCAAAACTAAATGTTCCACCCATTAATCAAGGTGATGAAAGGTACCTCCGCACACACACACACCTTCCAATATACCCAAGCAACACCCATTAGGTGCCGCCCTCGTGCCACAAGAGTTGAGGCGGTTCTTGGTCTCAATGTGAAGACCTGAGCGGGAATGGGATGGGCAGGAGGAGAGCGACAAGTGCAGCGCTGTCTGATTACACTCATTTGGCACTCGCGTGCAGGCAAATCTTGCCCAGACCCCAGATTCAAACTCCAAAAGAATTACATTTAATGTGCCCTCAGGGCATGTATGGAGTGGTCCGAACCGTGGACCGAACTGTAGTCTCTCTCTCTCTGCAGAGTTCTGTGGACGTGGACCGAAATTATCTAATTTGCAAAAGTTATTGCTATTAATTGGGCGTAATTATTGCGTGTCGTTTGCCAGAGAGCTACATAAATGGCGCCTTTTATGCGTCCATTGTAATCATTTTCCTTTATTTTCTTTACTCCTCGGTCGACCGGTTGCTGCACTTGCTGCACCATGGTCATGGCCCTGGCCCTGGCCCTGATGGCTCTCTGCCACTTCCCACTTCGTCCGCTTGTCAATTTTAATTGATTGTTAATCTGAGCAGAAGCCTGATCTCGACTTCTCCCTGCGATGCTCCATTCCCGATGTGGGGGTTAATCTTATAACGTTCCCAGTTAATTGTATTAAATACGCTCCACGGCATTGGCTGTATGTAGTTCTTGTTGTGGCCGCGCGGAGTTAATGAACCATTGATGATCAAGGATAAGCATGCGGCGGTGCTGTGTGTGGACAGGGCAATTAGTTGGGATCGGCTGTTGTTGATCTGGACCTTCATTGAGGCGATATCTAAATATAGACCCAGGGGGGCTATAAAATCAGTATGGCACGATATGAGAAACAGCAGACATAAACGAATTTATTGCCGATAATTGCAAAAGACAGTGTGAAACACACAAACACAATGGCACATGGCACATTTGAATTAAAAAGTTTAAAATTAAAACAAATTGGTTCTAAGAAATTTTTAAACTATGGTTCAGTCAACCGGAAGCCATGTTGCGAAGTCAGAGTATATTCCAATTCTTCCAATTCCAGTGCTAAAAAATCCTGGTTCTGGTATTGTGAATAGCTAAAGAAATTGCAGTCAATTTTGAAGATACGAAGATTTTTTATAATAGAAGCTATTTCAAGTATATTTGTTAATATTTCATTTGGGCAATCAATTATAATTATAATTATCAATTTTCCAGATTTATTGAACCAAAAACAACCACAACAATGCGACACACTCGGCTGAGATGACGACTCTCGGTCTCTGGCTCATTCTCCCAGCAAATGCAAAACACCTTCGACAAGTCAAGTGGAAATTACTTAACAGCAGGTATTTACTGAACAGACAGTTTGCCATTTTTTATCATCTAAATATCAACTAAATATAACATTTGTTTGGCTTTAGAATTATGCCATTGAATATTTCAAATTTTTACTCTCGTTTTATTGGCCGGTCTTCCTTTATTTTCTCTCTTTTGATATACTTATTTGCAGTTTCCCTAAGTGCGCACTCTCTAGAGTGCTGATTGAAAGGCAAAATATTCCCCAAAAATTGAGTAAAATTTTGGAAGAAGGCAATCTATGGATTGATTGATCCATATATATGCATATTCTTAGTCGCTATATAATTATGAAGTTAATAATAGCTGCTCTAATAAGGATATACCCAATTCCATTTGAATATTAGCATCCAGAGTGGGTGTTGCCTCAAGGTTCATGCTCCGTGTCAATCACGAGCGGCTTGTGGGCCCACATTTGTTTCTGGTCTCTTGTGATTGTTATTAATGATGAACATAAATCAATTGTCTTTTGGGGCAAAGTAACACAATATGTTAACCGAAAAGTTCTACCGCCTCACGTACTGCACTCAGAGCCCAGGCAGACAGATAGAAAGACAGACAGACAGAGCGACCGAGCAGTCAATTATGCCAATTGCCGGCCCCAAAAAGATATTGTATATTCCACGTATGTGTGTGTGCAAATGCAGATACAGATAGATTTGTAGCTGTATGCTCGTGTGCAACGGTTATGCGGTGCTGCGCATGCGCACCGCATGGGGTCTAATAAAAATTAAGCGCGTGTTGCATTTGTTACTGTCGTATGTTGTCGTTGCCTTTTTTTTGGCTGGTGCTGTTGTTGTTGTTGTTGTGGGTCACTTGACCAACAAACGAAACAACACGTACAAAAAAATGACGCGTGACGTGGTTAGGAGGCCCACACCACGCAACAAAGTACATATCTGGGAAGCGATGGGAATATGGGAAACGATTTAATAGTGATCTACACTAAGGCTGTTTTTTGTACTTTTAGAATTTTTGAAAAAGATATTCTAACAATTTATCTGGGAAAATATTTTATAACTTATGAAATCTCAATCTCAGGAGCTATCCTAGAACAGGACAAACACTTCGTATACATTTTATTTTGATATACATTTTTATAATAAAAAATCGAAATAAAATCTATTTACTTTTATTTGTAACTTTTATTACAAAAGTTATTCCTGTTTTCGAAATACAAATCAGATATAAATTTGTTTTTATTATTTATTTTTTTTATAAAAATTTTAGTAACTACGATTCCTGCTCCAATTCAATCAGAGCTAACTCCATTGTGTAGGCCAGTGTTATTTTGGCTTTGCCACTTGTGGCACGAACACACCGCTGTGTGGCACACTAACACAAGGGCAACAACTTTCGCATTAGGCCAGGCCAACAGCAGCAGCAGCACCAGCAGCGTCAACGACAGCAAATTTGCTGGAACCTGCCACGGAAGCCACACAGCCGCCGCACATTGAGACGCGACGCCTTCTCGACTTGGACCCGTGGTGTGCGAGTGCGAGTGCTCGTAGGAAGCCGAAGTCGTTGCCGGAGTCGGAGTTGGAGTTGGAGTTTGAGTCGGTGGCGGGGCCAGGCCTTGTGGCGAGCCTTTTAACATTTGTGCCACAAGTGGCTCTCGGCCTCTTTGGGCTCTGTGTGCATATTGCAGTTAATTTTCGCAACGACGCAATAGAGTTTTCCACGCGCCCACGCCACGCCTGCCAGGCAGGCCGGCCTGCCTGCCCCCACAATGCCACCCCTCCTCCTGCAGCGGCAGTTGCAGCTGGTTTATGACGCCGTTCAATGTGGTTTGCAGCAACAGTGGAGCCGCCTTATCACCTGTTTCTGCAACACGGCCCAGCTGTTTCAGATACTCTATCTCTGGAGGCAAATTGTGTTGATCAATTGATAGGACTGGCTTTAAGACGATTTGATTAACTTTACTCTCACGATCGAATGCTGCCGACATTATGATTTCAATTATTTCTCCTATTGTTTCATCCTATGTTACGGATATATCCATATTTAAATTACCTATTGGGGTTAAAAAAATTCTATTATAAAATAAAATAGAATTCATAAATATAAAGCACCTCACAATAAATAGATAATAATATTTTTTAGCAACTAGTTAATCTAAATATGAAAATATTTAATTTATATATATAATTTAATATATTTAAATCAAATATTTTCATATTAATGTCGGATTGAATTTAAATATTAAATCCCCAAATCACTCGAAATCAAAGTGTATCCCACAATCTGTATAGTCTCCCCAGATCGAAGTTCTTGTTTATATCGCTTTCTGATATTGTGGATTTTTTGGCGCGCAAACTTTTTCAGGTTTCGTAATAATTTGTTTCTTCTTTCGATTTTTCTCGGTTTTTTTCGACTTCAGTTTGGGTTTCGGTTGGGCTTTCTGGTTGTGGACAGCCTCTGGGCAAGAACGACGCCAATCAAACTGCACTTAATTAATTGAAATACGTTACATTAATTACACCATAATTAAAAGTTTGATTTATACTGCTAAGGCAGGCAGTCGCTGGTCTCCAGCAGGTCTCCTCGTCTCGCCGTGTAGGTGTCTGGTTAATTGTTCACCGAGCGATCGACCTGTCTGTCCGCTCTGCTCACATCTCGGCATCAGCGATTTCTGTGATTTCTGCGATTTCAGCGATTTATGCTAATGCCTGTCACCTGCCTGCGAGCGAGGGGTATCATTAATATGGGAGAGCTAAGACTTGGAATATGCAAAACTGACTGGGCTCGCTAGACGGTTTCCTAACCCGTTGTATTTCGTATTTCGTCATGCCTTTGGCTTTATGGCTGTCAACATGGTTAAGGCTTTGGCCAACTGCGTTCTTAGCCATGGCTGTTGGTTGATTGCCATCGATGGGCCCACAGAGAGCCATAGATTAGAGAGCAGTCCCCAATTTGTTTTAGATACATTATTATTCTCGCTTAATTTAGTCGAGCACTAAACAGACATTCAACAGGACATCAACCTGGGGCCTCCCCCTTGAAAATGTTTTCTAATATTTTTGATTGACAATGCTGCCCGGGGAGAGGGGGCCCAGCCCGTCTTCGAACCCTGGGTTCGGGGTCCCCAGTCAAAGAACCATCTAATGTCATGCCTGGCTGAGGACAGCAAACTGTCACTCGTTGTTGGGCTTCACAAGTAATGCCTGTGGCACGGGGCGCAGGCGCTGTTGCAGGCACACTCCACGCCCCAACATGTGTTGCATATTACTTGGAAAATGCCTCAAATTGTTGCGGCTTGCAGATGTTTTGGGGGGGCAAATAGGCATGGGGATGGATGCCCGTGCCCCATTGAAAAGCGGGCGGCAATGCCAAGTTGAAGTGACGTTTTCATTTTTCGGAAAATCCCCTCTCATTTGACTTTTTCCCTATTTATAGGCTGGTGGCAGCAGCGGGCGCGTGTGCGTGTGTGCCCCCGTCCATCGGGCCTAGAGGGCCTAGCCCTCGTTGTTTTGGATCTTGAATGAATCTGCTATAAATATAAACCTAGCGCGCCCCAAAACACTTTCCGGGGAAATCCATCCGTGAAAATGTAAAATATCTCCTGCTGAGTTCTGCTTTTTCCCCCCCGCTCATGTGCGTTTTGTGTGTGTGTTTTTCCATTTCGTGTCTTTTGTCTTCGGGACTCCTGTCTTTTGTTTATAAGTTTTCAATTAATGCTTTATTATCGCCGTTTTTTGGGTGGGTTTCTATTCCATTTTGATGAGCTGTTGATGGGGGCTTCGCTTGAATTTTGTCTGCCATCTGGCGGGGGGAGAGCTGCACCAATTCGAACAAATTGAATTATTTTAGTTGATTTTTCACTACAACACCAAGAAGGAATATGAATATCCTCATTTGTAGGTGTTGAGGAGTGTTTGAGTTTCCTTTTACACTCTGAGTAAAATGGGAATACGAGTAGTAACAAAGTATTCAGTTTATAGTATAAATACAAGTTTAACAAATATAAAAAATTGTATTTAAAAAAATAATATAATATAATGTGAGCGAAAAGACTTTTTATTTTTTTAATTTATATAAATCGAATTTAAACTATTGAAATAAAATAAAAAATGTATGAATATGATTATAAGAAATATTTGAAGAAATATTTGAAAAATACTCACTATCCTATAGCTAATACATGAAATCCACTTGTAACTCAATGGAATTTCAATTGACTGTGGAATACCATTTATCTGCATTGCGAGTATAGTAGATACACCCCACTAGATAAACTCATTCCTGCATTCTATTCAGTATTGTATAATGCAACCCACATATAGGTATATACGTATATGTATATAGTATTTACCCCGTACATAATCTCGTTATTAAATAAAGTTCTTGTTCAAAGATAAAGATCAGCAACAACATTGTTGTCAATGAACAAACAGCAAAGAAGAACAAAAAACAAGATCGTTAATCGTTATAAAACATGAAAATTGCATGCCCGAATCAAGCAATAAATAGGTTGAATCCACTCAACGACAGGGACAGAAAGAAAATGAAGTGGATACTGGCAGTATTATTAATCCAATTGCTGCACAATATTTCGGTGAATATATATACGAAATATAAAATGGATTTTTAATATATATAGATATATATAACTTGTAGTGCGAGCAATCCTATGTGGTGACCAATGAGAAACTGGAGCCCTTCGAGGGCGACTCCGAGACTCTGGTGTTATTCGATACCCTGAAGACCACGGGCCGGGAGCGAGCCCTCAATGGTTCATTCAAATTTCTGGGCGAGATGAATAACGACGACTTTAAGGTGTCCGTCGAGCTCTACTCCAGTCCCAATGGGGATGGTGACTTTAAGCGCATGGCCATGGACGTGCCACAGACCAGCATCTGTGAGTGCTTCAAGAAGTTTTATGTGCAGTTCGTTCAACCTTCGCTGAAACAGGGTGAAACCACCAATTTTCCCACTGTCGATGAGGACACGTGTCCAATACCGGAGGGCGAATACTACATTAAGAATGTCCTCTTCAACACGGAGGACTGGCCGCAGCAAGTCCCGCGGGGCATTCTTAAGGCGATCATAACATTCTTCAATGATGGAAAAAATGTTGGAGGTCTAATTGTGGTCGTCAAGATTGAGGATCGTCAGAGCTAGATCCGAGTATCGTTTGAGTGGTGGACGGGAGTGATTCTTAGCAGATACGAATTTTGAAACGGATGTGAAAATTTGTTGGCGGTTTCAGTTTTTGCTTTGAGGGTGAGAGACGTTTATATTTTTATTACCTTATATTCAAATTGTCATTAAATAAAAGTCTTTGAAAGCGAAAAGATTATTGCAACAGCTGCACGACCCTAAGAACTATGACCCCATTGTGTCAGACCCAAAGCACCTCAAGAGTTCGATAGATTTCGAGTGTGGAATCATAGCCATAATGCCACAATGCATAAAATTGCAATACAACGGCGATCGATCGCTTGGGCCCCCTGTAGATCACAGACAATGCACTTCACTGCAGAGACACGATCAAAGTCAAGCTGTCAAGCGACTTCCATATGACACTGTAGGTGTCACGCACCCCCACCCACCCACTCCCAACCTGCCTCAAGCTGCAACCTAGCCCCTTATGCCTCTCTCTCTCTATCTCTCTGTCTCAATTTATGCAAAGCACATCTCAAGATCGATCAGAAGTTACTCAATTAAGTGCCAACAATTTGCTGTGAAGTTTTCAATTTCAATTGCCTTGTGCTCGGGCGCACAGAAACGTGCCACATGTTGCAAGTGCTACGCCAGTGCCCAGTGGCCTACCCAGCAGGTTTTTCTTTCGGTGCTGCATGCGCTAATTTGAGCAAATCAAACAAGACCCCCAGACCCCATCGTTGGAGTTTCGAGTTGTTTCTTTTTTTTTGGCGTCAGAGTCGGAGTCGCAGATCCAACCAGTTTCGATCTGCGCCTGTGCGCGCTGCGTGCACTTTTTGTGGCCACCAAAAATCGAAAGAAACGAAAACACCTGCCACAATTGATTAAATCACTGCAATTTATTATTATGAAGTTCCAAAAGAACGACAAAACAGATACAAGGGAACACGCCAGGCATACAGATGTACATACATACATATGTATGTGCATGCACTGGTTGACTGATTGAACCATTTTGATTGGATCTAGATCGCAAATGAAACAGACATTTCAGCACTTTGCAGGTTTAATAATTCTTGATTCATATATTGAACACATTTATTTATCAGCTTTATCACTTGCAGCAGGCTATAAAAAAAATGCATTGAAGGAAATTAAATTATGTGTGTTTCACATATTGCCTGGAAAATAACGAGTTTGATTGATTTTGTCTATCTTGAGTCTCGCTGTGGGTGTTCTAGCCACGTACGCGAGGGTTTCTACTTGCCCCGGACTCAATTCAGCTTAGACACAGTGGCTACCCAATCATTTTCCGCCTTTGATTTATGCAAAGTTGAGATAAATCAAAGATTTTGCGCAATAAACTTTTGGCACGTTCTAAAAGTGTTAATTGGATTTCTTTTTTTTTTTTTTTGGCTTAAACCCACAAACTTTTTGCAGCAACGAATTTGTGTGTGGGTCTATAGTCGATGTCGATCATTGATTTGATCTAGCGTTGTAAGTGCTTCGATTTGGTTTTGCTCGAATGGCGGGCACTCGTCAAATGTAAATGAGCCTCATTATGGTAATGGCTTAGTTGGTTTCGCCATAGATTGGATTGGTGTCTGATAGGGAAGTTGAATGACTTTTTGAATGGCTATTTATGGCTTAAAACAAAAGAAAAAATTTGGTTTCAAGTTAATAAAGTTGATAAGTTCCTAAATAAGTTAAATATCAATTGATAATTCGATACATTTTTATATAAAATCCCATATATTTGATAGATAAATATTGATTTAAAAAAACCGATAGGTATTGATAAATAGTTCGATAAATATCGATAATCGAAAAGAATAAGTCTCAAAGTACAAGAAATTCAATTAGAACTCATTCAGAACTCATCCAGGGTTCATAAACATACTCATTATACCTCCTTGGATATTCCCCAAGTGTTTCCTTTGCCATTCTTTTGATTATTTTTTTATAATTTTATTTTTAATGTCTGGGCATCTCTTTAACCCCCTTGGTGATCAGGCCACACTCAAAAATCGTTTACAGCGAAGTGATAAATCAGAATAATTGATATAACCCAGAGAGTCTTCTTGGCTCTCAGCTATCTGTAATTTTTAATGTCTTCTTCAAGAATTCCGAGTGTGATCTCGATGTAGTGTTTCTCGATCTCTATTTGATTATTTCCAGAACTTACACAATAATTTTAATGGCAGCCAAAACAGGGTCATAAAACTGTTCGAATCTCCACTCAAGAACACACAGCTGCAGCAGCAGTTTGCCCTCCTTTTCCTACCCCGGGATCGTACAAATTGTTTTCAAACAGAACTATGGCATCTATCTCAAGGCCCAGCGCGACAATGATTAAATATTTGAAACTTCTGTTTCGGCCCCCCCGCCAAAACAAGAAATATATATTGAAGCTGGCGAGACTGTAAGAATTTTATTAATGGGTCGCGTGATTTAATGTGTACCCCAGTCGATATGGATACAGTCATAAATCTGTATAGAAATATGTGCCGCCTAATTGCGTAATGATTGAGTTAGTTGGTGGCTTGCTTTTATGATCCTAACCGCTAATTGTAGGAAGATATTTTTCGGAGATTGCCTCCCCATGGTAGTAATGGGAGCCTCAGAACCAGCTTGAAATTTTAATAGGGGGTTCTCTAATCCCAATGGACTTAATTTGGGATGTGATTAGAAAAAGTTTCTCACGTTCTGTGGTACAGGTTAAATAAGGAAAAAACCAGAATGGGTCTGAAAGCTAAATCAAAGTACATTTCCATTAGTTTGCCATTGTGCCCCATTCGGCCTGTCATCACAATATTTCAAATACATTCCCCACTCCCCATGGTAGAGTCATAAAACTTTTGCTAATTAAACGAGAGCACAACAGTTGGTGACCCAAATCTGGTGACCCTTTGTCTCGCCATAAGACTGCCCTCCCACACCAAGAGACATAAAAAATTGAAAGATTTTTAATGGGCAACAGCCCGAAAAGAATTTCAACAGATTTTCCACTCGAATGTTTTCGCCAAAAATGGCAAAAATATTGAACCAGAAATCCACTACAAAGTACAGACCGTACTTCACTTGTTGGAGTGGAATATCCTCCTCTTGGACAGTCCATGTCCGAGCATAAATTCTCACTTCAAAAAAAGGAAATAATGTTGCTTTTTTTTGCACAACTTAGAGCTTTTAGGGGGCTTAATGATGATGGAACAGAGTATGTGAAAATCACGGCTTTTCCAAACGGACAAAACCTTTTAAAGAAGAACACACACAGAAAATGGAGTAAAATATCCACAAGCCTCAAAGTATGCAAAGGTAGAGCGTGAGAGGGAAAGAGAAAAGGTCCAAAACCAATTTATAGATAATAAAATAATTAATCATGCACTTGTCGTCCAACCGAAAAGTCCGAGAGACTCCGAGGACACGCAAACACCCAGCACATTATGTGGCCAGGGACCGCCTCCTTGGATGCCGGATACTCCTCTGGCCATGCCATTAGCTCCACTGTCCAAATGGTCTACGAGTCCTGACTATGATTGATGTCTGCTGGGAAAGCCAAAGTGATGGCAATGACTAAACACAATTTTCCAGTCAGTCGCAGTGTGTGCGAAAAATCACAAACATTTCTGGGCATGGGGATGATTATGATAAGACAATTTGACTTCACTGGCTTCGCTCTCTAATTAAACTTGTCTCGGGGAATACACTTTTTCCAATTCTTTCTTCTTTATTTTTTTTTTGTTTTGTGCGGCATCATGGTAAATAAGAAGCGTTACTCATTAATGCAGGCACAGCCACTCAGTTGACTCGATGAATTATTCATGGGACAGCCGTCTGTGTGGGTGTGGTCGCCCCTGATTTTCACTGGCCAAACCTTATAATTGACTCGGGTCCTTTTCCCTCCCTTTTGCTTACCCTTACAAGTGGCACACTTATAGCTCGCATGGGTCTCTCATTCGGTTTCATAATTGATCTGGAGTGCCAGCGTTTCGGGACTATTTGGGGTTGGGTTCCTTAGCAAAATTAAGTGATTCAAAATGATAAGATGACTTGACTAAAAGGAAGAAAGTATAACAGGTGTCGGGATATATGGACAGTGGTCCGGTGTTTAAACAGGAAATAGTCCGCAAGAAAACAGATTAAACGGTCTTAGGGAATGACAAACTTCTTGAGTCATTTTGAAGGCCTAATCCGTTTTGGGAATTGGCAGGAAGTAATAGACGAAATTAACAAGGGATTACAGGAAAATTTTGGGTATGCAAGATACATGAATTAATAATTTAATTAATATTTTGTGTAACTATTACAATTTTATAATAGATAAAAATAAATATTTATATTTATTTTTAATTGAAGCGAAAACAATTATCAGATTTAGTTATTTGAAAATATTAATAATGAGAACATGTAATATTTTTAAACTTTTAAACTTGTTTTATTTGTTGTAAAGTTTTAATCCGAATTCGGGGTTTTAAATAGAAAAATAGCTATGATACTTTTTTAAACTAAAATCGGATCAAATAACCCACAGCAAATCCATTCTAAAAAGCTTTTAGAACATTTCCCTTTATGATTCGTAGATTTTTGTTTGTGATTCAACCAATTACCAAGCATTATCCCTGCTTAACCGAGCCAAACCTCGGGACACTCGGAAGTCTCGCATGGCGAAAATTTTGTGCAATTGCAAAGCGTTGAACAATGATTTATGTGGCAGCGGGCCGCACCTACATTTATGCCATGCAACACTGGCCATAAATCACACCAAAAACGCAAAAGCTGCGATTCTAGTACGGACCCAGTCCGTACGAACCAAACCCACAAACAAACAAACAAACGAACCAACGCAGCGGAGCAGCCAGCCAATCGAAGAACCAGCCCGAACTGTCTGTCAGAAAACGGGCAAAGTCAAAGTCTTTGGGGCTGACTGCAAGTTCCCCGCGACAACAAATTGATATTTTTAACATGCGAGTTCAAATAGATAAAGTCAATTGATGGACAGAGACAGAGAGAGAGAGACAGACAGACGGACAGAGTGGGACTGAGGCACAAATAAGAAAAATCAGTAGCAGTAGCAGGGCCCCCAAGCAGACAAGGCAAGCGCTGTGCGAGTGCGGGCATGGCATGACAATTAGTCGACCCACAGGGGCCCACACAGTGACGCCTCCTTGGAACAAAGAGACAGCCAGCACTCTAGAGCCGCACAGTGGTTCCAGGCAGGACTATGCTGAATTTGAAGAGTCCTTCGATTAGCCTGGACAAGGCTTTCAAATTATCTTTGAAGCAGAATCCTAGATCATAGAATATTCTCATGGGTTTCTGTCAAATATTTATATATTAGCTGGTGGGTAAATATTTATTGTTGAACCACAGTGGCCCGTCTCTGGCATTTGCAACGCATTTGTGTTGTCAATTTGTTTGCTTCATTCCGCTTGCCGCCCCTGCCACTCCTGTCCTGCTGCTCTGCTCGCACACTTGTCACAAATTGTGCAAATTTATTTTACGCGCTAAATGCAAAACGTGCCCGGCCAGCTAAATGGCTAAAAATTACAGCTCAAAGAGAGATTCTTTGCTTGGCAGCAGGGCCTTCCTTCTTCCACTGTCAATAGAAGAGGCTGCGAGCAGGAGCTGGATGCTGGGAGCTGTTAGCCTCTGCTTCTGAGACTTACTTCCCCGAAGTACTTGGGGCCACCCACCTCTCAAACTTAACGTTTGGTGCGGCTTTTAATTTGAAAACCCCCTCTTTCGGTGGGGGGTTGAAGGGGCAAGTCTTTGGCTGTCTAACAATGCGTGAAGTTTGTCGCCGCTTTTGATGGATTACAACCGAGAGGAGTTTGGAACTTTTGACTCTGGGGCCTTCTAACACTTTTGCCTTTTGTGCATTGTGTGTAATTATTAATGTATGGCCACAGCAAAGGCTTTTCACATACAATTTTTTTTTTTTGTTAGCCATTATGCAATTTATTTCAGGTCTAGCGCTTGACAAGTTTTCTGTTCATTTTATGCCACGATGGGCAGGCCTTTTTTGATTAATTACCCAAAATGGCAAGGGGGACTCGGCAGGAATGCAAAGTGTTTGAAGGATTCACAGGAAGTTTGAATTATTAATTGGAAACGATTTAGAGTGCTCTAAGAGTACACCACACAAAGAATTAAAAGGATTAAATTAAGCTCTCAATCGGTAGCTTCGGTATGCTGATGCTAAGATCAAGAATGTGTACGGTAAAAATACAGCTACACTCATTTATAAGACATACAGATATAAGGAACAGGATAACCTATAATAGTGTTTGTTTATTTATAATTTTATATAACACATTTCTGATAGTTTTAATTTTTTTTATCCAATTTAACAGTTATAAATTTTTCTCTCGAAACGATAAAAGTCAGAAAGTAATTTTAATTTCATTATTAATATTATTATTAGAACTATGGTTTTTTGCATTATACAAATTATAATCCCTCACGATTTTTGGCTAAAATTGAAATATCCTTTTGCAAGGTACCAAAAAGTACTCTTCTCCTCCTTTACATGTTGACGACACAGACACACACACACATGTGGGACATCCTGTTTTTCTTTTAACAGAGCTTACAGGCGCTTATCTCACTTTGCTCCTCCTCCCTTATTTATGCGGGTCTGGCTCCTCTACGGTGCGGTTGTTTCTGCTTTAGTTTTTATATTAAAATCGCTGCCAGACTGGACGACTGGACCACTGGCTATTAAAAGGACGATGCGGCTGTCTGCAGCGGTCGTGGAGAGCACGACACAGACAGTGGGAATACCTTTTACGTAAATCCCAGTAGGAAATTAAAAACCAAAATGAAGTTGAAATGAGAACACAGGGCGGGGACAAGAACACATAGCGACACTGACCAACGAAAATATATCGTCATATTTATAAAAGCGCAGCCCAGCAGCAACAGAAGCACCAGCGCCAGCAATACAGGGACAGTCGTCCAGTAGGGTCGTCAAAAACACCTTATTACCGATAAAAAAAAAACACAGGGGGAAAGAGGGGAGATGAGAGTCGGGACAAAGCCAACGGGTGCCCCACCAACTGACAACTGAGTGACGCAGCCGCGGGTGTCAGGACCTGACCGGTGCTCTTTTTCGTTTTGTTTTGCTTCCCTAGTCGGGGGGGTTGCAGCGCCACAAAAGCAGAGACAATTAAAATGGATCTGGCGGCAAAAGTCGCGAAAGTCGCTAGCAGGACATGCCACTAGCGTCCTGTTGCCTGGCCGCGGCCTTTGGGTGTGTGTGTGTGCTGGCGATTAATGAGTCTTTAGCGTTTCCAGTCGCACGGAGTTATGATGATTACTTTGACTCTGTCCCGCCCCTGAGCCCGATCTGTCACTGCCTTTCCCTCACCCCACTGACCAGCCACCTGTCTGTCTATGTGTATCCAAGTCTGCGTAAATAATACGTGTACATACGTCGGTATATAAAACCAGACGGAATCGGAATGTCCTCTATCCAGGAAGACTATAATATAATATTTCTATCCATGATAAAAGTCATAGCACTCTTTTAAAAGTAAAAATCTCACTGGTGGAGAGGGAGATCTGACAATGGCAAGAGAGAGTGAGTGAGGTAATGCACTCTCTTTGGGTACCCTTAACTGCAAAGCCACACTGGGAGAGAGATAGAGTGCGCAGGTTGCTTGTTTTGCTGCAAGAGTACAAGAAATTGACAATTTTTAACCCGAAAACAATAAATTAGATTTATTAAAAATGGGAATTATTTAAGGAAAATAAATGAATGAATCATTATACTACAAAACTACTATACTAATACTATTTGAACTGTATTTAAATTGGGTAAGATTTATTTATAAAATACAAAGAAGTATTCTATGATTTTTTTTTCTCTCTTTGGAGTCATAAACTTTCGCAGACTGCCATAATTTTGATCCACCTCATACTATAATTTTTTGTTGCGACTGCTAATCATAAAAAATATTAAGCTCTGATTTTGACGCGACATTTTTAACGTTCGAGCGTGCTAATGAGGTTTTACCGAGTACTGTCTGGGCGGTTCGAGTCCGAGTTCGAGTCCCGAGTACGAGTCCCTTTCCCTGTTAATTAGTTCTTCCGCTTAAAAAGTGTTTAATGCTTACGTGCTAATATGTATTTTTTCCACCTTTTTTTTTCGGCGACACAGTGGAATGTGTCCCTTGACATGCGATTAATAAATAAATGCCTGGAACCTTGCGTGTCGAAGCCGGGGGTCTCTACGTCTGGGTCCGGGTTCAAGTCCTTAAATGCCTTTTGTTTGTAATTTGTTTATGGGTTCATTTCCCGGCGGTCAATTGCTTGGCGCTCGTCTGTGATTTTTTTGTTCTTCCTCCTTCCTGTGGCGGGCCTTTTGTTAGGAACTCTTTTTTTTCGTACTTGCGAAAACACCTTTTCAATTAGCCTGGCCACACTTAAAATCCATTTCAGGCGTTAATTTTTGATAGAACAAAAAGCATTTATGCTCGGCTTCACTGGCAAGTGACACTTCTGCACTTGGCGGCACCCGGCAACACCTCGAACACTCGTACTCTGATTGCGGAAGGGTTTCGTTTCTACACACCATCTACGGGCTCTCGACGGGCTCTTAATTGGGCGCACAGACGTGCCCACATTAAAATAAAAATGTCGATTCTTTCATTGGGAAAAGTGTCTCGCATAATAATAAAATGAAAATACCTAATAATGTTAATTTCCAGTAAAGTGCTACAAATTGATTTCACGCATAAAAAAAGCTACCAACAAAGGAAAAGAATGTTAAAAAGCAGAACCACAAATTGAGTTGTATAAAAAAAGCAGAGAGACCAAATTGGAGTCTGCTGATAAGAACCGACAATGGACATAAGGAAATGGTTCGAATGCAAAATTTAGTTTGGATACAGTCAAATATTAATAGTAGGAATTCGTAGGAATCTACTTAATTTTAGCTTGTTTGTATTTAATAACCGAATATTTAATTTAAATTAAATTTTAATATTAATTTAAATATAAGTAAAATATCAACTTAATTTAAAAAAAATTCCATTGACTAAACCCTTCTGCAATCAGAGTACGAGTATTCGAGGTGTTGCCGTGTGACGCCAAGTCCCAAGTGTCACTTATTAAACTCTAGTAAACCCCGACTGAAGGTCTACTAAATCTGTCAGTTCAACAGAACTTAATCCCACTTTGCTCCCCCAATTAATTTCATACTAAAAGAACGGTGAAAAGCCAACAAATTCACACGCCTCTGAGTCAGTTCTGACTCATTTTAATTTCCCAAACAAATCATTTGGACCCAACAAGTTCAGAATATTTGTAACATTGCCACAAATAAAAAAAAAGAAAGAAAAAAGAGAGAAAAGATAACCGAAAATGACAAACATATCTCTGGATGTATCTCTCTTTATGTTGTGTATCTGTGTATCTTTTGGCTGTATCTGCTGCACGTCTCATTGTCATTAACCCCTGCCTGAATTCCATGCCTTTCTCTCAATCAGAATCTTTTGCGCCTGTGTCATCTAATTGACATTTGTTAATAGTTTTTCTTTCTATTTTCCATCTGCTGATCATAAAAGGCGTTTGTTCATGAAAATTGTCTGTAATTTTTTTTATTGCTTGTCCAGGTATTCTTTTCTGTCTGTGTCCGTTGTTGTTGACTAATCATTTTCGGTTTATCGTTTTGTTATTGTTCCGATTCTTATCTCTTCCCAAAAAAAAAAAAAAAGAAAACCAACCCGTCGACAATCGATCAGTGGCAAGAGTGGAAGGGAAATGTCCAGCATAATTGGTTACAATTTCAGAATTGTAAATGCAAATGCCATAATTGGTGATCTTCAGTCTCCTTTGGTCAATCCCATCCATCATTAATCAAATGTGAGGTTCACTCTGGCCTGGGCCTGGTCAAAACCTACTTAAAAAGAGAGAGAGATAGCAAACAGTAGCGAAACCTAAATTAACGGATAAGATTCGATGGAATTGAAAAAACTCAACTCAGAAAATTGTGTCTTGAGTTCAGTCATTTACTGAATTTAAAGCCGCTATCAAACAGGAGGCAGGAGGACCCTATTTTTAACACGATGGCACGATCCCAATAATGCCTTATTAATATGAAAGAGTTTACCTGTAGGTATAATTAAAATTCACTTTAATCATGATCAAAATTTATTTGCAGGTTGCCGAAATACTGATTTCCGATACACATGGGAAATGAGCTTTTAATTTATTACTCCAATTAGTCCCAATAATATTCAATATCAAAGGGCGGATCAGGCACGGTAAAGGGACGCTCACATGTGAAATTCTCGCATATTTTGATGAACAACAAATTATAGTTCGGGTCCGTAGCAGTGGTTGGCACCTCCCCGAATGATTTTAACTGAACAGTAAGAACCATTGGATTATCTGGCTGAACGCCATTATGCTGTAGAATCTTGATGAGCGGACCCACAACGTTCTGGTTGACTCTCCTACAGCCAGAGACATCGAGCGTTCGGAGGTTCCTACACCCACGGAGTAGGCGAAGGACACCCGAGTTGGTTACGTTATTGGAGGATTGTACGATCACCTTCTGGAGCTGATCCAACTTGATAAACTGCAAATACGTATTATTCAGATTGGAGCAGATGAGCAATTTCAGTGATTTTAGTTGTCCGATGGCCTTGGCATTGTTGGCATGGCTGGGGCCAATTTCGTCGCTATACAAGCGCAGCACCTGCAAGCTGTTCGAATAGCCCGAGACCGATCTGCCGAATAGCTTGCCCAGTTCCATTTCGGGGCTGAATTCAATGTGCAGTATTCTCAGCCTGGGCAAGTACGGCATTTCGGTTCGAATAGCTTCAATGCCGATGTTCAGAAGCTTCAGCTTGGGCCACAGCGGATCACGGATAAGCTCTGCCGGAAAGCTAATGCAAACATTCCGTACTTCCAATGATTCGAGCTGCGCCATGTCGGCGCACAGTCCGTACAGGTTGAGCGGTTCGTCATTCTTGATAAATAAGTTCTGCAGTTGCAGCAAATATTTGACTGGAATTACTGAAATGGAAACGGCAAATATGTATAACCAGTATGACCTATGCCCCATGGCACGACTCACGATCCTCGCGCTTAAACCGAAACAATTGCAGGGTCGTCACTTCTGGGAGTTCCAGCAATGTGTTCATCAAATCAATCGGAGTGTAGTCATTCATCAATCTCAGGTCCTTCAGCGCCTTCAGTTTCACCAGCAGCGGCTTAAGTTTGTCCCAATACTTTGACTGTATGGAAATGAACAGTTCCTCCAGGTTGGGGCAATGTTTGGCTGCCAGCTTGACCGCAGCCACTGCATTCTTTGCCATGGAAGACATAATGCCCTTAACATTCGAACCGCATGCGGAGAATATGAACGGCCAGTTCTCAGTGGGCAAACTCTCAAAATCTATTAGCTGGTATCTGTCGGCAGCGTAAAGGGCAAAAGCCCTGCGAAGCACTGGATGAGTTTGGGCCAGCCTTTGTCTATCTTTGGTTCGCTCCAGGCATATAAATATAAGGCTCAGCTTCTTCGGTGGCAGATTCACAATATTCGACAGGTTGTGGGGGCCCATTTTGCAACACCAAAGTAATACAAATTAGTGCATGTTTTACCGAAACTTACGATAAGAATATTATTTATTTTCACTTAAAAGCCACGTGGAATGATAGAAAAGTGATTCGTTGAGTCGTTACCTTGACCAGGGAAACATTCCTGCAGCTATCGATAGTTGCCCACCCCTAATCTGTGATCTGATCTTTTGTTTCTTTCAGTACAATTGAGCTGTGTGGCATCTGCTGCTCTAAAATGGACGACCCAGTACCGCCGCCAACCAAAAAAATTAAAATCGATCACTCGAAAAACATATTTGACTTGCCGTTGAATATTGTCAATGTGATATTCAAGAAACTTTGCGACAACGACAAGCAGAAATTCGCCAAAGTGCATCCGCTGTACAGAACAGCAGTGGCTGATCAGAGTGTTAAGCCTCTGACTGATATTTTTCCACTTTTTGCCACATCAATTGTCCTCAGTCGTTTTGTGAAGGAGTCGCAGCAGTGTGCCACAATTCTGTTGTCCCGTGTAGAGCACATTTGTCCCCACATAATAGCCATGGAAGTGAATGCAGACGACTCAGACCTAGAAATTGTCGAATTGGTTCTAACCAGAATGAAAAGGCTCAGATCACTGGACTTGAATATAATTGGTGAGGACATAGAAAAATTCACTCGCATGCTGCACAAACTTCCAAATTTGGAAGAACTAAGATTATACAGCAAGGATAAGGTTAAAGGTAGGTGTTGTATACAAATGTAGATACATACGAAGATAATTTCTCAAAATTCCTTTTCAGCAGAGTATCCCAAAACCAAGAAAGAAATTGACATCTATCAAATTTGTTTGCCAATGAAAAAGCTGCGCCTCTTTGGCGCCTATGGATTTTGTATAAACCCCACTCAAGTTGTAGAATTGGCCTGCCCACATCTGAGAACGCTGATAATGGTTGCCTGCGATATAATTGCAGAACTACCGCATATACCGCATCTTTCGGGCATGATTTTAAATTATAATACATTTTCGCCAAATGTTCGATTCTACGAGTGGATTTCGAAATATGGCAAAGCATTGAAGAAATTAATGCTCTATCGGTATAACCCACGTGTCGAAACTATTCCAACGAACAAAATGTTCAAATGCTGCAACAAATTAAAATTTATTCGCTTGGATACGTTTACCAGAGAAGAGGAATTTATGAAAAACTAAGTTCATAAATTTATGGTAGAAGTGGAAGCTATTCCCATTATGGTGAGCATATAAAATTTAAAACTAAGTAAATTAAACATATTTTACCTTCAGCAGGAATATGAAATATGGTTATATAAAATATGGCATTTTCGAGCCTGATGTTGTTACTTGCCACCGCCAAAATCTTCAAGGAACCTGGCATTATATTTTCATTATTAATTTTTTGTACTCAAAATTATCATTTTCATCTACTCTACATACATCTGCATATGTATGGTTGTATGTATTTAATACGGAATGGTCCTCACAGTGAAATATAATTATGTATACTTGTTCTTTGCGTGAATCACATAATTGTGCCACTTTCTCCCAAATGTTTTGGTCTAGGAAACTGCAGGAAACGCCATAAAGCAATTAAACCAAAGTCCTCCCACACATATGAAAGGAAATCCTAGCCTTCTCATTGCTCATCGTAGACGGCGGCAATCAAATCAGCCAAAAACTTGTTATCGCCTCCTTTGACTGACACCAAGGCAAATTAATGACCCTCCACCTCCCACACACACACACTCGATATCCTCATACACAAGCGCCGAGGCTCAGAGATGCAATTGACTTTCAGGTGGCCCACGATTTGAAATATGTAAAGCACATAAATTATGTGACAGGCGAGTCGTCTGGGCGACAAACTGTGAATGAATCAAAGGATAATCCAATTTATTTCACATTACCAGTATGTGCTGCTGCTGCTGCTGCTGCTGCTGCATCTACGACTGCCCAAACTCCATTCAGCTCCAGCTCATTGTGCAAAGACAGAGATACAAAGTGTTGGCTTGGACCAACTTCAAAGGTGTCAAATGAATGCCTGAGGGGATGGGGATCACAGAGTGCACTTTCAGGCAATCAATACGTTTTTGTCTCTAATGCAATTTACTGCCTATAATGGGCAGGCGACACTCGAAAGATTGAAAGGAGTTGAGGAAAGATAATGAGATGATATGTTGGTTTAAATTTTGCGAGGTTCACTTTAGAATGTTTAATAATTGCCCAAATATCCAACCATTTTTGAGCAGACATGGCATAGCCCTTCCCCGTGTTCTTATCTGACCTTAGACTTAAGTTCATCTGGCCAACAGAAACCCATCCAAGCAGCACAGCACCCAGACTGTGGTCTACAATGCGGAGTATCGTTTGTCTTAGAGCATCTTTTGTATACGTTTGAGATGGAATATTTCACGCTCAACTAACTTTACTGAAAGGGAATCGGGCAAGCAGTAGTAGGTATCTATGTGAAATCCATACACATGTCAGTCACACTTAACCCTGCGGGTTTCAAGGAGCAGCATCATCGGCATCAACGTCAGCGGGAGACAGCAGGACTTGGACCTCGAATCCTGATTTGCTGTGGCTTTGCCTTGCGGCTGAATTATTATTTTGGAGTCAGCCAAATGTTACTCTTCTTTCCGCTTTGTGTCTTGCGTTTTTTTTTTATAATTTTGCTGTAGATATATTGTTTTTTGCACTGTTGCCGCAACGTTTATTATGATATTGCGGAAATGTTTTGAGGCAAAACGGAAATTTATGCACATCGCATATGTCAACAGCTCCCTGGCATGAAAACAAAAAACAAAAAAAGTAACGAAAACGAGAAGAGAAGCGAAATTTGCATATTTGCATTTCAATTTTCTGCAATATTGGGGTGAGGGAAGCTCGATTTTTTTTTTTTTTTTCCTTTCGGATTTAATTGTCAATAAAAATGAACCAAGCGGAAAATTTGTTGGCCAAACAAAATGAAATTGAAATTTTTTGAATGCGTCTGAAGAGAAGTCTGGGAAAAAAAGTTCTTTTGGTTTTGCAGTACCCCCAGACATGGGAATCTCAGAATCCCTCAGAATTATATTCTTAGGAGGGAGTGGGGGTGGTGAGTGTTGTGTCTGATCTGGGTGTTGCTCTTGTTCTTGTAATTTCCTAATTTACATTGCAGGTTTTGGAATTTACACTTGCTGGCAATTAATAATGCCGCATTAGGGCTATCCATAAAGCAGACACACTCGGCTCACATCCCCCGACAATTAAGCTGGATAATTAAGTTTACCGTTCATTGGCCCTGCCAGGCAACAGCCAGTTGCACAATCGGCTGCTCCCCTTGCTTCGGAGTGTATGACAGATTACACGAGAACAGAGCAGGAGTTGGGCACGGTGGAGCTGTAGTTGGAGTTGGGAATGGACACAATGATTTTCTCGCCCCTCACTCGCACATGTTGGCGCATATTATCCGTCTGGCGAATGGCAAATAGAATCCTTCGATTTTGAGTGCATTTTCAAATCATCAAAATATTCTGTCCCTGTTACGGCATGGGACATGTGTCTGCATTAATCAAGAGCTGTCCGCTGTCCACCCGGCAATAGAGCCTTCGATTCAACTGACCAACAATTTTTTAAAGTCTTTTGATACTGATACTTTTTGATAGTGTATAAAAATAGACAACAAATTTACGAAGTTCTCGTGCACAAAAAAAAAACGAAAGACAGATCACTTTGCCAAGTTAGGAGAGCCTCACCTTACCACCACTGAGACTCTTGGAAGGAGAGAGAGGCTCGCTCGCTCATTGTTGCTTCTTTTCCTATCTGGACTGGAATGGAAGTGGGAAAGAAACACGCACACACACAGACAATGCAAGACATAACGGGATCAAAAGGAAAACAAATCGAGGACAACTCATACAATGTTTACATACATATATGTAGATATGTATGTATGTAAATTACACATCTTGCACATACTGCACATACAATGGAACTTTTTTTATGTCTTTTTAAACTACATATCCATAAACATTTTATTGCACATTTTTCCGGCTAGATTTGCGCCATTTTCCCGATTTTGGGAGTTAGGAACTCTCCCTCACCCTCCCTCAACAAATGGTCACTCAACAGAACTTGGAACGTTTGTTCTCTCTCTTGGAGTGCAAACACAAATGTAAAATTTGAGAGCGATTTACAAGCAAAGAGCGAGCCGTTAAGCCTCCCACGCATACATATGTACATACATTGGAACGAGAGCTTAAGTCACGTACGCATTTGTCACGCTCTCTCTGTTACATATTAATTTTTTCAGCAGGTAAAGACGCGTGGTTTTAGATTAGCTCCGCGTTTCGGGCCGCGAAAATCGGGGAAAATTGTGAAAATCTAACCGGGAAAATGTCGCGAACAATGTGTAGTGAAATGTAGTGCAGTGTAGTGCAGTGTAGTGCAGTGTAGTGCAGTGTAGTGAGTGTAGTGCAGTGTAGTGAGTCTAGTGCAGTGTAGTGAATGAAGTGCAGTGATTAAAGTGCAATAAAAAGTGAGTGTTCGATTGAGGGGGCGTATCGCAGGCAAAATGGCGTCCAAGAAGCAGATTGCAGCATAAAATGTGAAGGAACAAGTACAGCTAAAGTGAAAAAGTGTATTTAATATATTTAATATGTGTTATATCAAGTTTTACACGTGCAAAGTGTACGGAGCCCCTAAGGCCACGAGGTGTCTCAGTTTTTTCGTCTTTCAGTTGTGTGTGTGTGTGTGTGTGTGCGGGATCGGGTGAAGGCAATGTGAAAAGTGTGCGGATCATACATACGTACATATGTACATATATTTTTGTTACATCTTTTTGTTTGGCTTTTCATTGTTTTTTTTGTGAGTGGAATTGCCTTCTGTTCTTGTTACGTTTGTGTCTCTTCGTTCCGTATCGTCCGAATCGTTCCGTATCGTAAAAGTGCGTAATTCGAAATCCGTAATCTTATTCTAATACGTAATCGTACTCTCATGTGTGAAAAGAACAGTAAATGCAGCAGGGAAACGGCAAAAGAAGATGGTCAAAAGGCAAGTGAAAAAATAATTTTTCTGTTTTTTATTCTTTTATTTTATTCTTTATGGCGTTATTTTCTGCATTTCAAGAGCATGTAGCAGAGAGACTTACGAATTTCTCTGTGTGTATATTTGCGTTATGTACACCAAAAGAGAATGTTAATAGCCGTTAGGAAACACTTTCGCAGGCTTTTCCTTTATTTTCCATTTACCAGAAACTCTTTCATTGACAAGAAGGGATTATATTCATTATTCATCTGGCACTGCCTCACCTCACCAAACTTCGTCCGCTTCCATTAAGATCTTGTCCTGTCATCAGTCATTAAAGATGCCATTGCTAGACGTAATTAAAGCCATTCCAGAATAAACATTTCATTGCCCAAACTGAATGACTTCTGTCACACTCTTTCACCCACTCTCCTCCTGGAACTTTTGGCCAAAAGCGACAACCGGGACAACATTGTCGTAAACCTAGCTGACATTAAGATAACTTTTAATCATCGTTAAAAAAAAACGCCAAAAAACGAAAGAGCCAAAATCAAATCCTCCTGACTTGCTGCAGGGATATGCAACGTAAGCGGCTTTTCGTGTCGCCGCCGGTGCGGTGTTGCATGATAAAAACCCAAAAACAAAACAAGTAAAACATGGAAACATTTCAGCAAAATATTTTTGCACCAACAAAAAAGAAAAAAAAGGAAATATCTTTGGACAGACTTACTGACTTCTGATTCCCTGTTATTAAATTGTTTCGGTGGCTTTGCCTCGAACGGGGGCAACCGTCGAAACGGAAATGTAATGAAAATTCAATTAAAAAATGGCATTTGCCAGATTTTACATCACGAGTTGGCCTGGCCAGGAGACCCAGGACCCAGACTCATTGAGGGAATGGCGCTTACAGTTTGGGGCATTTCAATGGGATTGCAAACTCATTTCGGTTTGGTCTATGGAAATGCAGCAGGGGTGAAAGGATTCAATGGGAGACTAATGGAAATGGCATATAACATTTAAGAAATATTTAAGGGCACTTGATGAAGAGTTGCAAGTTATTTCTGTTCGATTTTATTCAGTTGGAATGGCATTTGAGTGTGAAATATTCAATAATTTTTAACAAAAATACATGAAGTGTAGAGAGGCTTGTAGTGTATCTTACCATCATAAAAGTCTATGATTTTATCTATCCAACATGAGGATGAGTGTGGAAATGGATCTTTTTTTTTATTTAAATGCAAATAAAAATTTTTCAATAATTACCCTTCACCAGGAAATCCCTTTTCCAGTACCCCGTTATACTGCGAGAAAAAATAACTGATGTAAACAAATCGACAAAACATGTAATTTCACTTATCTGACATAATGTCAACGGTTCTGAAATCGTTGCTACAACACACGCATTACCCAAACCCAAAACACAGTCGGAATAAAAATTGTATAAATAAATTACGCAAAAAATAAGAGGAACCTTTATATGTATATTACCCTTTATCGCGCTAAGCAGAGGAAGAG